GCGGGGGAGGGGCATCACACCCTCCAACTCCAGGGACCGACCACCCAGAGCTCACAGGGGCCACTCTCCTGCCTTCCTAACCTCTACCTACAGAGCCAGAGAGAGGTTCTTCCTCTCTGCCAACACGTTCCAGGGAAGGGGCCCTTCTCTCAACCACTCCCTAATGCTGTTCCTCAGCGCTGAGAGAAGTTAGACTATAGGAGGAACTTCCCCCATCCTGGTTCTTGGTGGAACCTCAATTCCTTTCCTTGATGGGTGGTCTTCCTTCTTCTCAGTTCTCCTTTTTAGGACCCGAAGTTGACGCTTGCTAAAATTAGGTAACAGTTTACCTGGTCTTCCCCTAGGAAGCAGCCTCCCTCTTCTCTAACAAAGGATGACTCCCCGGCCTTTGACTTACTAAGACCACGCCCACTTCTCCATCTGCAGGGATAGCAAACCCAAGGATCCTAAAACTACAAGGAGTAGATACTCATATAACAAAGAGGTCCACGCTAACCTTCAGGAGCACCTTACGGGCCTGCTTCCTCACTTCTGCTCCCTTCTCACTCCACGGTTCTCCCACAACAGTTCTCTTCCCTTCCCATCACTAACCCTCCTCCTCTCCTCCCCAGTCAATGCTTACATCCACCTCAGGCGGGCAGGAGTTCCCTGGCAGAGGAGCTGGAACAATGCTCTTCCTCTCAGGCCGTGGAGCAGGGGGGGTCACTCCCTCGGGCTGGACTCGAATAGCACCTTGGATGAGAACAACTGGGGACACTGGGGCAAGTGGACAGGAGAAGGAGGTCAGAGAGCTGGAAGTCAGGTGGGTTCCTTGTGTCCACACCCACACCTGAGCACCCAAGTGTCAGGAGGCTCAATGGCTGTGAGCCCCCTGAGAAGGTCAATCCAGGCCACCTCCTTCTCTCCTTCTTTAGTACCTGGGGGTGGCTGGACAAGGGGCTGCAAAAGGACAGTGGTGCTGGGAGGCACAGCTCTCGGTGGCATCGGGACAGTGGTTATCACCACAGGTTTGGGCTGCAGTGGTGGCTTCCGGGCGGGCAGGGGTTTGCCTGAAGGAAGGTGAAAGGAAGGAAGGAAGAAGAAATGTCAGGACTACAGGCCTCTTGCGAGAGACTCCAGGTGTCAGGAGGCCTCATTACCTGAGGAGCCATCAGAGGACAGGCCCATGCTGATCTGGACAGCTCCAAGTGGGGGGCCTGAGACATCCCGCAAGAGACACCCTTGAGGGGATGGGGACTCTGTCTTCACTTCCAGTACCTCCTCTCCTATAAAAGCCTACGTGGGGCATTCCAGAAGATATGTGAGTCAGGAGGAGTGCTGAGGAGACGGAGCTGAAGAAGAGAAAGCTCTCACACCCCTGAGAGCCAGAAGGAACGCACCGGCGTGCTGGAGGGAGGGAGGAAGTGGATGCTCACCTGGTTGGGGGACTCCGCAGAGAGCAGGGAAGCCTCTGAGTTGATGGAGGAAGATGGAGAGACAGGCTCTATCTTAATCTGGACATCTGAGGGACAGTGGGATGAGACAAAAAGCTGGACATCATACAAACACTGAAGGAGAAGACGGCTAAGATGGGGAAATGGGAGACATGGTCATTTCTCCTTGTACCTGCAAGGAAAACTCTTCTGGCCCAGGAAGGCAATCCAGAGGAGGGGCACCATGGAGCTGCTAATCTGCTGCCTCTCCTCCTACCTCTTTACCCAGGACTCCCTTTCTCCTTCCGTGGCCCCTATCAGTTGTTTTCACCACTGCTCAGTTTCCCTCAAGGCTGTCCTTGTGCTTCTGTTCTCCCTCTTTCTTCCTCACACACCTTGTCCATTCACATGGAGGAGGCCCAAGCAGGGGGATTCAGCAGCATTCGTACAGGCCCAGATTCCTGTCTGGCTGGATTTCCACCTCATCCTGGCCCAACGCAATCATGCATCGCCACACTGACAACTGCCCAGTCTGCATCTCTACCCTTGACTGCCCCCCTGCACCCTGATCCTGACTCCCAAGCTGCCTGCTGGTCACTTCCATTCTCAAGCCTCGCCGTTCACCCAAATTCAACTGGCCTTAAACAGGGCTCACTGCTTGTCCCTTTATACAGATTCTCTTCCTTCTGTCAGCCCTCAAAGCTCAGTCACCTCTGAGCCTTCATGGCTTCTGTTAAACCTATCTATAAAAAAAAAACAAAAACAAGAACAAAGAAAAAAAAACCTATCTATAAGACTTGTTGATTGCCCCATGGAGGTGAACCCGTCTGAGGGCCAGATTCAGCCCCGAGGTCAATGGTCCGCTACTACCTCTGGTCCACAGCATGCATTTCGATACTTAATTATATGATTGCCACTACTGCTATTTCAAAATGTCATATCTACTTATATATTTTGATAGGTAATACAGTCATATGATACAAAATCCCAAAAGAAGGAAGGGGAATTCAGTGAAAAGGGAATTTCATTCCCTTCCTTGTCAACCAGACACCCAGATCCCCTCCTCAGAGGTGACCACTGTTTGAGCTATTAACCATGTGTTATAACCTCATGAAACTCTCCAAGAGCAAGGACTATGTCTTATGCTTCATGTCTATCAAAGTGATGGGTAAAGTACAGGCCCTCAAAAACTACCTAAATACCAGGGGAGACTCTGACTACAAAAACACTGTCCTTTGCGAAACCATCAATAATCTTTTCGCTGTTACAGACTTTTCAATCCCTATTTTGTTTGTCCTCTTTGTAACATTTAATCGTATGCTGGATATGAGCTGTTTGTCCCTCCAAACCCACTCTCCATCTTTCCCTGCCCTACTCTGAGGCCCGGGGGAAAACATGAATGGAGTGCACCTTGGGGCTCTCTTGCCTTCTAGCTTCTGGTTAAAGTTCAACCAAAGACAGGCGGTGCTAGGAAACCCTGAATTCGCTTTGAAATCAATAATCAACACGGGGGCTTCCCTGGTGGTGCAGTGGTTGAGAGTCCGCCTGCCGATGCAGGGGACACGGGTTCGTGCCCCGGTCCGGGAGGATCCCACATGCCGCGGAGCAGCTGGGCCCATGAGCCATGGCTGCTGAGCCTGCACGTCCGGAGCCTGTGCTCCGCAATGGGAGAGGCCACAACAGTGAGAGGCCCACGTATCGCAAATAAATAAAATAAAATAATAAAATAAATAAAATAACCAACACGTCCCACACTGAATTTACCACGCGCTCCCTGACCAGCGGGCTCCTGCTCCTGCAGGCTCTATCCAGTGGTCGGTACCCGCACCCACCGGGTGGCTGCCCTAGCCAGAAACCCAGGCGCACTCTTTCACCCCTATCTCTCTTCAATGCCCAGGGGGGTCACTGCACTCATCCATTCTAATTCATGCTTCCTCAAATCTGCCTTCTTCTCAGCAGCTGGGTATCTTACTTGATTAACCGCATGAACCTCTTTCTTGGTCCTCCTTCTCCTCCAGTCCTGTGTCTCTGCAATCCACTCTCTACTCTGCCACCAGAGTCCTCTTCCTAATAATACTGCTCTCCTGCTTGACTCTTCAAAGGCTCCCAACTGCCCACAGGAAAAAAGCTAAGAGTCCCTTAGCAGGGTTCCTACCTGGCCCTGCAGCCTCTGCATCTCCTGGCCCTTCTCTACTCCCCCTCCTCACCTCCTCTCTAAAGAGATGCAGGTTCCTTACAAACACAACCAGTCCCCACGTTCTCCTTCTGGCTAATTCCTATGTGTCCTTTGAAACTCGGCTCAGGAAACCCCTTCGCCAAGAGTACACCCTTAAGCCAGCCCCAATCAGGTGAGAGGCCCCCTCTTGTGAGCTTTCAGGGCGCCTGTGACAGTCTCTACCCTAGAATTAGCACACCTTGCTTGGCTTTCTTCCCCCCACCACACTACAGGGGCCTCAAGTCAGTGTGGTGGTTAACGTGTTCTTCACCTTTGCAACTCCAGCACCGTGTCCAGTATCTGGCACGGAGTAGCTGCTCAATAAACATATAAGAGTAGCTAAACTCAATAACGCTTTTCAAAACAGCACAAACAACGTTACTTGTAGAATCCAGGAGTTGGGTATATGGTATTCCAACTTTTCTGTATGTTTGAAAATTTTCATAGTAAAATCTTCAGGGGGAAAGTCACATAGATAAAAATGCCCTAAACTGTCTGCAAGTTTATGCAAAGCAAAAGGAAGTTAAATCACACAACAGGTGACTAGGAACAAGAAAAGAAAGAAAAATCATCCCCATTTCTTCCGTGCTTCGCTGGCTGTGATTTCCTGAAATCCTCCCTCCCGCTCCTGGCCTCTCTCCTGGTTATCTGCCATTTCTCCTCCCCACCTTTTCCTCCCCGACCTGCTGCCTGCACTCCCGCTTCCCATACACACATGCGCGTGCACGTATGTACACGCATACATACACTCTACCTTGGTAAAGCCTGAGGACGGTGCAAGCTGTTATTACCTGAGGCATCATCAGAGGTGGGGCCCACATTGATCTGGACGGTTTCAAATGGGGATGTTGGATCATCTCCCAGGAGGCAGAGTGAGGGTGTCAAGGACTCTGACTTCACGACCAGCACCTCCCCTACACCAGAGGCCTGGGTACAAGTCGGGTTAAAGCAGGGGGGACAGAAACAAGGAAAGAAAACAAAGGACGCGTTGAGAGTAAGAGCTAGAACGAAAGCTTTCGAGCTTACAAACCACCAATTACTTGACATTCATACTCAGCATCTCCCTAGGCTGTGTCTGGCCCCTGGTTCTCTCTTTCTCTTTTATTCCTGGGAGGGGTGATGAAGTCTCATGATTTCAAATATTGCCTTCGAGTGGACACCTTGGACAAGAACAGTTCCAGAATTCTCAGCAGTTAACAACTCTCTTCTTCCCAGGCCCCCCATGGCTGCCACATTTCTCTGTATATTAAAAAACTCCACCTTCAATTCTAGACAACCGAAGAATGGAAATGTGAAAAATGAGGATATAAAAGAAATGGCAAAGGCAGAAAAGAAGCCCCCCACCAACACCCCATGACTCACAGCACACAAATCATTCCCTCAGCATCTACAGGTGAAGTCAAGGGAGCTGAGTCCCTGCCACAGACAGTAGGAGGGAGATGACTCTCACCTGGCTGGAGGGCTCTGCAGAAAGGCGCGACGATTCAGAGCTGAGGGAGGAGGAAGAGCAGGGGGAGGATGGCTCAGACTTCACCTGAAGATCTGGAGAGAAAGGGGTTAGAAAATAACCTGGAAGCAGAGCCTGACAAGAGTCCAAAAAGTGCCCAAGATTATGGGGTAAGGACCCCTCACTGGGGCAAGGGGGAACGAACACACATAAAGAACCAAAGAGCGAGAAGAGTACACAGGCAATCAGGTGGAGGAAGTGTGAGGGTAAGAGGAATTGCAGTTTCTGGGAAACAACGGAAGCTCAGGGTTTCTGGATGAGGGAATCACACAGGGTAGCTTACCCGGGAAGATAGGCAGAGAGTCCCAGGGGGGTTCAGGAGGGCTGACATCCATCCCCAAGTCCAGGGAACTGCTGCCAAACTGAATAAGGGAGGATATTAGATGGCAGGAGTGTGAGGATGAAGGGGTGGCTCCAGATGACCTCAGGCCTGGGGATGAGTCCTGGTTCTGCGACCACCCTCACCCACCAAGCGTAAAAGACCAGGCTGGGGAGCGATACCGGGACATCCTGCTCCGGGCAAAGGAAGAGCTGCGTCTGCTCCTCGGCCACTTCATCCAGGCCGGCGTATAAGGTGCTGTCTGCAAGAGGTGCGGAGGGTCGGGGTGTCTTCCGGTAGCGCAGCCTTCGGATCCACACAAAGCCCTCGACCCATCCCTCATTGGCTCGGCTCGGCCAGACCCACCGCCCGCCTACTTGAAAAGTGATATAGCCAAGGAACTTCAGCCCCTCCCTCCCCGACCCCGGAACAACTCCATATTTCCGCAGGAGCGGAGGTCTTCCCCAACTCCCGCATCCCCCGAAAGCACAACTAGCCTCCCGTTTCCCTCCTTCAGGTGGTGCATTCCGTATTTGCCCAGCCTTCCTCTTTGGGCCTCCGCTTCCTCCTGCGTGCCTCAGGGTCACAGTACGCCACAGCCCTCTCCCCTCCCCGAGGCCTCACTCCGCGCACCCCAGTCCTCCGGGCTCAGCAAATTGTCGGTGAAAAAGCGCGTCGGGTCCGCAATCTCGCTGAGGAGCATCAGCTCCGCCATCTTTCCCCCCCGCCCCCCCAACCATGAGACGGCTTCCAAGGCCCGCCTCTCCCCATCATCAACTAATCAGTTGGCTCTTTAAAAAAAAGGGGGCGGACCGGAAGCTCTACCGACCAGTAAGAGACCTGGGCACTGAGCACATGAGTCAATAGAAGAGGAGGCTGTACAGGCCGGGCCAATGGGAGTGCGGCAGGAGGCTAGCACCTCTGCAGCATCGGACAGTGAAATGTGCGCATGCGCCAAACAGGACCAGCCAGAAAGCGCCCAGTAGAGCTCCCAGGTTTTGAAGTTTCGCTGTCCCCCGCAGCGTGTCCTAAATTTAGAAGTGTGGACGGCTTCTCTTCATCTTCGGAGATGGATAAGCCCCTCAAAACATAGCACACGTGACCATATGGCTTTTTAATGGTAAAAGGGTAAAGGGGGACACTGAGACCACTGCTACCTCCCCTAGGAAGGCAAAAGCTGAGAGTGGGATATGGGTGAAACCCTCCCTCTGGGCCACCCCCACCCCCCAAATCTCACAGCATAGACCACACTTCACAGGTTCCTGTTTCTTTTAAGGTTTTAACTTTTAATCAGCCAAACATCTTGCGCAGTCCCTGAGCCAGCCCAGCATCCTGTTTCTTTCCCTGAATGATCACCTTTCCCAGCTCCTCCTGGGCTGCCCGGTTTTTTGGGTCTACCGCCAGCACCTTCTTGAGGTCAGCAGTTGCTTTTTCCAGGTTCCCAAGAGCAGCCTGGGCAACCCCCCTTCGGTACAAGGCCTTTAAATGGCCAGGCTCCCGTTCCAGAACCCGGTCACAGCTCTGGGCTGCCAAATGGGGCTGCCCTAGCAGCAACTGACAGGCAGCCAGGTTGGCATGAAGGACAGTTCGTTCCGGAGAGCCAGGTGGGGGTAAAGTCAGCAACAGCCGAAGAGCCCGTCCATAGCATCGGGCAGCCGATTCAGGGTTCCCAGCTCGGAATAATTCTGTGCCTCTTGCACGTTCTTCCCTGGCCAGGGCCTCCTTCTCAGTGGCCTCCAGTTCCCAGGAGTCCCGGCCCTGGGTGAAGGAGGCCAGTGTGAGCCTGACAGGAGGTCCAGAACACCCAGGGAGCTGAAGCTCTGCCTGCTCGCCTTGACACATGGACTCCAAGCATTTCTCTATGAGCTCCCCCCAGGTTTCTTCCCTCCATGGGCCTAACCCCATAGTTAGCTCTGTCCAGCCCTCTGGCAGCACTGACCCCAAAGTAAATCCAAAAGCCTGTACCCGGCAGCGGGAGCCCAGCTTGGGTTTGTCCAAGCCATGGCCACGGATTATGATCTTCTTGACAAAGCTCCCATCCGGACAATACCAGAGATCAGAGGCTTGAAGGGGCTCTGGCACCTCACTGGCTGATCCATGAGACTTATCAGAGTCTCCTTCAAGTCCAGCGGCCGGTTTTTCAGTTTCTTGAGGATTCTCTAAAATTTGGCTGTCTGGATCTGGGCTCACTCTGAGCTCAAGGATTTCAGTAGGAGGGTCTCGGGGCTGCTGCTTAATCTGAGTAGTTAAATCAAGGTTCTTTTCCCATTGTTGCTGCTGTTGAGAGGTGTCCTTCTCTCCCACTGGATTGACTGGTGGCGTCTCCATTTAGGTGCCTGGTCCTTTCCAATGTGGGTAAACAGTTTTGGTCAGAAAGGGATGGACCAGGTTCAGGTCCGCACCTGATTAAAAAATAATAATAATAATGTCATTGGCAGGAATCTTATTTAGATTCCTTTCCCGGCTCGAGCCTCCGTTCCAGCCCCGAACTAACCCAGAACTATAAGTTCCACAATCCCCTGCGGCTTGGGTAGCCGTCCCAACTACGGACACCGATCGAGTCCAAAAGTACCTGGGCGGTTGAAGCGCCTCGCCTGGCGGCAGTAGCCGGACCCTTCGAATCACCTCTCTTTTCGAAGCTAAGTGCTACTGAGGTACTGTCCTTGGAGTCTTGCCCCAGGCGGAGAGGACGGTCGGGGGGGGGGGGGGTGGAGGGGGGAGCGGGGCA